CTTATTGTATATGTTTATTCTATTTTGGCAGCACATTGATGTTATTATGTATTATCTGCGAAAAAGAGGCAAATATGGCCCCAACAATAATATTAGGTTCACAACAACGGATTGCTTGTTCAAGACAAAGATTGAAAGAATCTATGACAAGTTCATAAGTTCTCCACCGGAACAAAGGTATTCGGTTGCTAAACCCGAGGATGATGTTGGAGAATATATTCTTGGATACAGAATTCTTGCTAATGTTGCCTGGGATCTTGTTGACTATGTGCTCATGCCTGTGAACCTTGTAGAGAACTTCCATTGGTTGTTGCTAGTTTTTGACATAAAGGACAGACAACTTTATGTTTATGATTCCATGGTGAGAGCAAACCGTCATAAAACAGTTGAGACATTGGTTGACAAGTTTTCAATCATTATCCCTCTGTATTTGTCATGCACTGGTTTCTATGGTAAACGTAAAGACATTAACTTCAAGAGCACAAAGGCATACATCGAAAAACCAGTTACGGACCCTCTCGACATACAATGGATGGTTGCTGAGATTCCACAACAAAAGGAAGGCTCAGTGTAAAAAAATAATCTCCCTTTCTATATGTTTAATTTTTTTATTTTAATCATTTGTTATATAATGAAAAATTCTCATCTTATGCAGCGATTGTGGTGTATTTGTGGCTGCATTTGCGGAGTATGTTAGCCTTGGAGATTTGGCAATCCCAAAGGAAGATCTTTCTGATATTGACCAACACCGTAGACGCTATGGAGCTCTACTGTGGGACTATGCAACAAAGAAGCAAGAAGATGGGTCAATCAGTGAGAGTGAGGTTACTGGCAGGCTAGCAAGGAGGAAGGGTGCTCCGGCAAAAAACGAGAGGACTAGAGTGCAACGAAAGAAGAAATAGACTATTGTGTTCCTAGTTTGGTCTGTGAAATTTGGTAGTTGAATTGGAAAACAATGTAGGAAATATGTCGTTTTGGTTTTCTACAACACTTTTTGTTGATTACATTATACTCGAGTACTCTGATTACATTTTTACAGCAACAGCTTTGTCTTACAATTTGACTTTAATCTTCAAGTTATTTTTATAAATACCTTCAAGTGCCAAGTAATATCTGTATATAACTGTCATTTGTTACACAGCAGAAAGATAAAATAAATACAGGAATCATATAAATAATTTAGCCATTTTTTATCAACAAGGTTTATCAAAAAAATTCAATTTATCTACATTTAAACTACGTCAAACTACATTTTAACTACAACTCCTCTACATATGAATAACAGGACTACAGTTCTAACACAGTTAAACTAAATATTCACTACAATCTGTATACAATTTACGTTGAATGCATTCTTTATTAATATCAGTTTTTTTGTATACAGTAAATATTAAAGTTTAACTATTCTATAAAAAAAAGACAACTTTAGATGCTTGACAGAATACATAAAAACATAAATAGTGCAGATACACAAATTGATGTTTATACTTCTTATTCATCTTCAAAAACTTAAACAATTACACAAGAAAATCCGATAATTTGAGCTCACTAACATTTATTTTGAATAACTATTCTAACTACATGATATTCATTTCTTTTTCGGCGCATTCTTGCAAGTTCTTTTGTTATGCCCTTCACCTCCACAATTGCCACATGACACCTTGTATTTCTTTGACTTTATTTCATCAAATGTTTTATATCTTTCCTTGTGAGGTCTCCCTGGCTGCCTTTTATCTCCCGCCGGTGGCTTTACTACCTCATCCAAAATATGTTGTGGCACTTCCCATTTGCCTTCATCAGGAAGAGGATTTACTGGCATTTCATAGGTAAGCAGAAGGCTCTTCCTTGTGTAATACGGAGAGCAATAGTTTTCGTATGTTTCATTCCTATGCCTTAATGCTGCCAAAGCATGCGCACATGGAAGTTCATCAAGTTGGAATTGTCCACAGCTACATTTCTTGTTTTCTAGACACACAATGTACCGCTTCACACCATCTAACACAGTATGTATATGATCTGTTGAAGCCCTCACCTACAATTGAAGACCAAACAGAAATAATAATACATCAATCATTAAAATGGATTATCAACAATTTACCTACAAATCAGCAACAAATATATTACAGCTCATCTACAAACTATTATTACCGACAATTTGACTACAGTTTAACTACAATCTGGAAAAACTGCAGCTAGTACTTTTTTGATTCTACTGCACCAAAAAAAAATATCTTACCCTTAGTTTCTGAGATAATGTACTGTTGTCTTCCAATTCTTTGTTGTATTTGTGACCAAGGTATGTGAAAGTACCCTTTGCCTTCGATAACTTTTCTTTTGTCCAACGTTCAAGAAGAGTCCTCATATACTCAAATAGATCAAATATTGGAAGCTCTCTTGCATCTTTTGTTACAGCATTCAACGACTCGGCAATGTTTGACGTCATAGTAAAAGTTCTATTCACCGTTGCATGTACTCTTGACCATCTATGATAGCCAATATCATATAGGTAAGACTTTACACGCAGGTCTACCTCTTCAATCTTCAACATCCTTTCATTAAATTCATCCATAGTGTATGACCGTGCTGTAGCAAAGTACAATTCATGTAATTGTAGATGTCCCTTCTTGAATTTTGACCTTATATTTGTCCATATATGCCACATGCAAGAGTAGTGTGCCAATCCCGGATAGACAACTGATGTTGCCTTCAGTATACTCTCATGCCTATCTGAAACAACACACATTGAAGGTCTTTCACCATATGCCTCCTTGAATTGCTCAAAGAACCACTTCCAAGACGCGTCGTTTTCAGAATCAACCACAGCATATGCCAAGGGAAAAATAGTACCTACATTTTTAAGACATAAAATATGATTAAATAACAACTACAATATATATTGAGAAATATAGACATGTTAACTACATTCTTTTATATAACTACAAAATAACTACAACATAACTACAATTTAACTGCATTTTAAAGACTGTCTACAAAATAAGTACAAAATTATTCCATTATTTACCTGCTGCATCCATGGTGCTTGCTGTCAGCATAATCCCCCTGTAGGCTGACTTTAAGAATGTCCCATCAACCACTACTACCGGCCTACAATGTTGCCAACCATTTATTGATGTACAAAGAGCAACAAATGCGTATAAGAAGCAATCATCTGCTGCCTTCTTCAATTTAACAACAGAACAAGGATAATTCTTCTCAAGAATATAAAAATATTTGGGTAATTTGTTGTAGGAGTCACACGGATTCCCTCTCAAAAACTGTAAAGCTTTTTCCTTTGCTCTCCATGCTTGCATGTAGCTTAGGTTCAGTCCATGTTCGGATAACATGTCAGTTTGTATGTCCTTTGGTGTGTAAACAGTCTTAGGATCACAATACTTTGGAACGACCATGCTACCAAGTACTGCTGCAGTACGTTTGCGCTGTATGAATGTTTCGTCCATTAGGCAGCATGTGTGTTGACGGCTGAAACTTCTTATCTTGAACATTGCCGAATCATTAATTGACGTTGCCTTGAAATGCCATTTACAGCTTTCAGCAACACATATAAGCCAGTAGCTACAAAAGAAATACAATATTTACACAAATTTATGAAAAAACTACAATTAACTACAAACTGACTACAATTTAACTACAATTTATAAAACCCACCTATCTTCAATCATACACTGATTTTGCTGATATATTATCCACAAATAACTACATACCTTCTATGACTGGATCTTTTTACTCTGAACTGGAACTTGTGCATCACTGAATAATTCTTCATTGCAGCAGCTACTGTTTGCTTGTCCTGATAAACTTGTCCTTCTTCAATATATGTTTGCGTAGATTCAGTTATTATTTCACTTTGATATTCCTCTATAGCTGGTGAGGATGGAAATTCAAGTAAGTTTAGGGATCCAGACGAACCTGCAAACAATAAATTCATAAATGTAGTTTCTATGTAGATAATTTTGAAAGCAACATTGCTTTATCCTTTTCAGTACTATGTGAGCTTTGTAGTTTAATTGTAGGTAATTGTAGTAATATTGTAGATAACATAGTAACACCATAACTCTCTGCAATGTCGAATCAAACATACCTGCACTGGTGCTTTCATTGTTGATTGCCAATTCCATATTGAAATCTCTTACGCTTATACATAAAGGATACGAACCTAAGTTTTTATTCTCCTTTTTGGTTTCCATGTAAGCACGAACCCCCATATCATTCCTAATCTCCATTGGAGGACAATTCTCGTTCACAATGTATTTGATTTCTATAATTTTATCCGATGTATCAATCGATAATTGTTCTGCAATTGTAGAACTGAGAATTCCGTAGTTTGCATTATCATCTACCACAATGGCATCAACTTCAAAATCTCTAAATCTGCCATAGTTATCCCAATTACCATTCGATTTCAGCATTATTGGGATTTTTGACATGATTTCGTGTAGTTGATAGGAAAAAAGACGAAGAAGAGATATAGTTTCTACAATTTGAATACTGATATCGACGAAGAGCAATTTTGTACAATTTGAGATGAAGAACAGATATAGTCTCTCTTCAGTAATTGTACAATTTGATTGCGTTTTTTGTGAAATCTCTTTCTGTTGAGGAAGGAGAGAATTACGCAACTGGTGCCTTCAGGAAGAGAGATCTCCTTCATTTCAAAATTGGAATAAACTCCTTGACAGAATCACATCAGATTTGGTGCCTTCATTTTAGGGCTTTTTTAATGGCAAAATCTACCTATTTTTGGATTGGTATATAATTTGTAGTAAAAGTGTGGACTACATGGGTAAATAACAAATTATGAACATTTTTGTTAATAATGTTTGATATATGGTATAGATAGGTAAAAATCCCCAAAACTAAATTGGCTATCTGAAAGATTGGACAAAGCCCCAATTCAAAGCTCTTAATACTAAGGATACCAGTTCAAAGCTCTTAGCCTATTCTCAAGTTTGTATTTTCTACTTCCTTACAAAAAATGTCCTGCACCAGGAGTCTAATTATGACATCCACAGTTCTCTTCTTGTTCTGAAAGATTCTACAATTTTTTTCTTGCCAAATATAATATACACACCCAGCAAATGTTTAATCTCATCTTTTATCCAGCCTGTTCGAGTACTATGGTAATGATATCGAAGAGCTAAGGTCACAAATTGTGCATACTTTTTTTCCACACGTAATCAACATGGGAATATTTAATTTGAATATAACATAAAACCGCTAGGAATTTGATCTCGTGATATTACGATTCAAATTGGAAATGATATTTTAAATAAGAAGATCAAAACCGTCAGGTAATGCTCATTAATATAAGGTAACTGAGAGTACAAGACAAAAAAACAAAGCAAAGGGCATGACATACTATTATTGTGCAAGATAATTATTGTTACAATTGACTAGCAGAAAACTAATGTGATGATATTCTAGTCTTCTTTGAAGATGAAGAAACTAAATCAATGGCACATCCCAAAGGCCAAGCTGCTCCAACAAGATAATTTTTGTATTTCACATCATGCATCACTGTAATATCTTTGTATGGATTTAATCCTGTCCAAATATGCATTAAAAAAAAAGGTAAGTAAGATAGGGGAAAAAAGTCCAAGCACCAAATTAATTTCTGTTTCATCTGATGCTGCATTTAACTTATATACACCGACAGTATAAAAGAACATTAAAAATAACTTACGGAATCCATCGACAAGCAAAGTATACTCATATACCAAGTCAATGCATAAGTATGGGATATTTCTTTCTTGAGTGTTTGGAAATACTGATTTTACATCTGCTGCTTTTGTCTTGCAAGCAACTTTAGCTGCATTTAGGTACTGAATTGGCTTTGCTATTGCTGATGGAAATTTGCTATCCACAATGCCAACCTACAATACAAATTGAACCCCAATTAGTCTGAGCTTATAAATTTTAGACTGAATTGATCATCACATCAACTGTAATTACTACGCTTCAATCCTAAGTTGGAGTTGACTATATGAATCTTCATTATCCGTATCGCTCAGTTTATACTTATTAACCATGAACATATTTATTTATGTGATTTTATCTAACTAGACACAAAGCACTTTGATGAAAGCTATCTATAAAAGTTAGCTAGTAATTCTAACCTATGACTTTTTTCCTTTTTCTTTCTAATAATTTTTGGAGTAGTTGAACAAGGCGGATGTAGAGTGTTATCTACAGGTTCATGTGAACTCAATAGCTATTGTCCAAAATATCTATGTATGAATATTTGACTGTGAAATCAATTGTTATTGTATATTTTGTATTAACTTGAGGTCGTTGTATAGGAATACATAAACTTTAAATCTTGGATTCGACTTGTCAAACAGAACTTTTACCTGAGCACCAATATCATAGAAAAATGATGAAGCATGCACAGTCTTGGTTCCAGCACCACCTCCACCATTCCAAACTCCATTGAATGTGCAGTTCTTGTAATTGCATGGTGCTCTAATTTTAAGTGCCTTCCTAGTTAATGCTCTGCATTTCTTCAAGCTAGTACCACTTGGTGGAGCTTTTACTTTGTAGTCCACTCCTCCGTATGAGTAGTACCCTTGAAAATAAATGATAAACTCATGTATTAGCGCATTTGACTAATTACTTATAAGTAGCCTATAAAGATATATTGGTGGTGCATGTAACTTAAACTCTTTTGCATATTAGTACGATATTTCTTGTATTATTGAGAATGGCTGCAACGATATTATTGTAAAAAATGATAGGCGAAAATTCATAAGAAATTAGAGATATATATACCATCATATCCTTCCAAAGCGCAAGGATTACTATGGTTTCTTGAAGCCTTGAAAATCTCAGCACGACCAGCTAGTTGTCCATAGTTCAAATAACTGCATACGATATATACTCGTTAGACTTTAAGCTACCAACTTGTTTTTAGGTGACATGATAGTGTAGAGTATTTTACGCTGCGATATATACATAATGTTTGTATCTCAGTATATCATAGAGAATTTTTTTTTTTGATTTTGTTTATAAAATAAAAGGAATGCAAACCTGTGAACATAGAGGTCGTAATCTTTTGACATAAGATGTTTTTCTTGAACATAGGGTTCTCCATCCTCATTTTGAGGAGCATTTGCAAATTGTTCTTTTGAGATGGCATATGCCATTTGGACTGATCCACCTCCAAGGTCAATTGTTGCTGTGGTACTTTTATAGTTTTTACCCAAATTTCCCAATAGATAATTTATTGCCACCTGTATATTAATAAACACCAATAAATCAAAATCAACTAAATAAGACATTCAACTTGATAATAGGTGATTACATGTAAGATTACTCCCCCCCCCCCCCCCCCCCCCACCAACCCAACACTGTCATTACTGTAGGTTTTAATTTGGAGCTTAACTATAACATGTAACTATTCCTAACAAGTCTGATATAAATTTGAAAAATGGAGTGGATAGGCTGTTGTAAAAAATTAAATGTATAGATAATGCAATTTTTTTTTAAACATATATGTGTATATAAATTAAATCCTTAATTTTAAGGTGCAATTATATATTTACTTCATCCGGTTCATTTTATATGTTTACTTTCCTTTTTAGACAATTTTAGAAAGAATGCCTCTTTTTACCTTTAGTAATTCTGTATTTCCAACACTTCACATGACATATTTAACACTGAGATTCAAGAAATTTTTAGTACATTATGCACATCTCTAATTTAATATCCTAATATTCAAGAATCCTACGTACTTATTTTTTCTAAACTCCCTACACAGTCAAATTAAGACAGTTCGAGCTGCTACCACGTGAGAAAAAACTATTTTTACTTGCAAATTGAGTAAACTAATCCACGCTATTAATAGCCCGTTTGATCAAGCTGCAAAAATCAGCTTATTTTGAAAAGTATTTTTTTTAAAAGTGCTTTTCTCAAAAGTACTTTTGGTGAGAAACAATTTGTGTTTGGCTAATTAGTTTAAAAAGCACTTCTGAGCAGCAATTATTGTTTGGCCAAGCTTTAAAAAACTGTTTCTAAGTGTATTTTTCTCAAAAGTGCTTCTCAAAAAAGTGCTTTTCGAGAGAAAGCTACTTTTTTCTGCTTCTCCAAAATTGCTTCTGCTTCTCCTCAAAAGCCCTTTTTTCCTTCCAAAAACTTGGCCAAACACCTCAATTTTTGGCCAAAAGTGCTTTTGACAAAAAAAAAAAAAAAAAAACACTTTTGGCCAAAAAGAAGCTTGGCCAAATAGGCTATAAGTAGGATATTTCGAGGCCTTTAGGTATCCGAAGGGACTCACTTAATAAAAAATAAATAAAAACTTCCAAATAGAGTTGAATAAAGAATTAATCTAAATAGTCGCTCATCCAATTGGCTTAAATCATNAAGAATACTGACCCATTGATCTTTTGTATGGAAGGTGCTTTCATTCTTGACTAAGTCTCTCACCTTTTAAAATTGAAAAGGACAAAAGGTTTTATTTAATAAATTAGTAAAACGAGGATTAATTTTTTAATTAAGTAAAATAAAATAATTTTTCTTTAAATAAATAATTAAGATCCGATGAAAACACATACCGCTTGTAAAATCTTTTCAGCGGCATCCCCTTTTAACATCCTCAAACCTGCTGTTGCCTGTATGTTTATTCACACACAAAAAAAAAACAATTAACAGAGCAACCAAAAGTATTATTTTATTTATCATAAACAATTCTATATGACAACGGAATAATAATTAATTACGCAACTTGCGTTATTCTAAGAAAAAGATAAGTGAAGGGCCATTAGAGTTTCAGATTGGACCATGTACTTTTATTTTATGATTAATTGAATGGAATATCATGTTAATAGGGTTTAAAACTTATATATACACCGTAAGTGTAAAGAGCTTTACGTTATCAACGTTATTTAACTTGTTGTAGTAAGTTGCTTGACTTATTTTTCAGATTAGTAAGTACAACCATAAGTGATAACGAGTTATTATAAGTGACATGATTACTTTGCAATATCAGACAGTGACGACGACCATTAATCCCAAAAGTACCTATGAATATGTACAAAGTACGTACGCCTACTCATTTTCTTCAGTCTCTTTCGTCTACGTCGTCAGTTTATAGAAGTTAAACTCACATTAACATATTCTAATTAAATGGTAATTAATACTAACCCCAAGTTCGATGGTAATTAATACTAACCCCAAGTTCGAGGGAAGTTTCGGATTGCAGCTCTTTAGGAACAGCACCTTCAGCTCCCTCTAGAAGTGGCTCTAGAGAGTTGGCTGCAGCCTTAGGATCATCTGCATATGAACTTAGACCTGGATTTGTCTGCGAAAAAAGGTGAGATTCATATCATAAGATTTAATGGTAAAAATGTAGGAATTAATTAAAAAAAAAAAAGAAGAAGAAGTAAGTAAGAATAGAATATGCAAACTCTTGATGAAATTGTTCAACCTTTTCCAAACCTACCTTTTATATACTATATTTTTTACCCAAAACAAATAGGATCTCGAATCTAACTCAATTAAAAAATTACCTAAATCAAGATAAGAACACTGTTCAACATCAAATAAAATAAAGAGATTACACGTATTTTACATTATTTTAACTAACAAAGTATGGGAGAGGGGAATTAGTAGACAAAATTAAAGTATCGGAATTTGTGAGTTGAAACTTCATATATTTAAATATATTAAAAAAGAGCAGCCCGGAAATGGTATCACGTGTTCACGCAGGGTCTGAAGAAGGACCTCTCAGCTAGAGGTGTGATGTAGACAATTTAAGTGACTGCTTTTACAGTTTGAATTCGTGACCTATAAATCACACAAAAATAATTTTACCGTTGCCGAAGCTCCCATCCAAAACTTCATATATTAACGTGAGAAATGTTAAAAGCCCATTTTACCTATTAAAGTAAACAAAAATTCTTTCAATCCATTAATTAATATGGTGAGCATGTGCTCTCGTCTTGGGATCTACCCTAAGTGCAACACTTATCAAATAAATTAGATGTATAATCTACCATTTTATACCTTTTACTACCTTTCTCTTTAGGAGTTAAAATATATACTAAATTATTAGCGAATTAATTTTAACTTATTTTAAACTAACAAAAGCGACATTTACTCCATAAGATGAAGTCAAAAATTACTTACCGCCATAAAAAACTCAATATCGTTGCCAATGGGAAGAAGTTCCAAATTCTCATTAAAACGAAAGACATGAACTCTGCTGCCTGTACTTCCAGCATCAAATATAACTGCATAACTCTCTGATTCATGGCTCAAAAGATGTCGCCTCAAGGGTTTATGGGCATTTACACTGGAGAAAAAACTAAGGGGCAAGACCAAAAATATTGCCAAAAATGTAAAAACAAAATGACTATTTTTGTTCAGCATTTTGCCCTTTGCCCTTTGCCCCTTTGATGATCTTCTGCAAAAGCAAAATACACAAGTTATGAGAAAGAATTCAATAGTTGACTTTTGAGTTAACAACAATTAGGGCAACAATGGATTCAGAATTTAGATGATGTGAGATTTGAGCTGAACAAATAATAAGTTTTAAAATTGTATATGTAACCCTAGCTAACAAAGATGGAGAGTTCAAACTCCCTCAATAGCATAACATCTTTTTCTCTCCTATATAATAAAAAAATTAAAAAAATAAATACGAGAGAGAGTGAGAGAGGGGAGAAACCTTTCTATGCTTGTGGGAAGAAGATGATTAGATGATGAAGCAAATGGTAAACCTTGTGCTCTTATATAAACTTATATGCATAATATAACACAAGTTTAGAAGAATAACTCGCGAAACATGTGATACTACTATTATATTTTATTACAAATAATCTAATGATTTGACGTACCAATTATTTCTTTTTTCCGTTTAAGATATTCGTTTTGTATACTGTAAAAGCGACCCACTTTCTGTAACTATTGTCATTAGCGACTGATCCAATAATTAACATTCTAATAGTTACTCATGTAAACATGTGATACTACTATTATACAATTAAACCTAATGATATATATAATTTACCGACAAGATATATATATATCCTATACTTTTAAGATATTTTTGTTTTTACTCTCTCTAATTATGATATCAAAGCTGTCATTTTATTTTATAAATATGAAAGGAAGACCATAATCTGAAATTATTGTACTAATGACTGATCCATTTAGCATAAAATATATAGGCGGCCAACACCCAGCAGCTTATCGTTTCATTTGTAATATAATCTTGGAAACATTTCGGGCGATTTGCAGCCGTACCCTATTTTTATGCCACCTTTTAACTTATACCCTATTTTTAAAAACTATTGATTTCGTAACCATCTAACAAAAAATCCGTAATAATATGACCATTATACCCCTTCCAAAACATATAAAAGTTGCATCAAGCATACCCAGATTCAAATTCCAGAGCTCCTATGTATCTCCTTCACCAGTCCGTCTCTCCTGAGATCGCCTCTCGCAACCAGATTCAAATTCCAAATTCAAATTCAAATACATTATAAGTATTCAAATTCATCTCCAGAATTCAAAATAATTTTTGAATTATATGTTTTCTGATTGATTGATTGAAATTTTTTGATGAACTTCACTAATATGCTGAATTTGCATTCTAAATCTGTTTACGATGAATTCTCACATTCTAATCCGACAAATATGCTAAAAAATTATATTAAAACATTATATGAGTGTTTTAATATTTAAAACACCTATGCACAAAAAACTTCAGCATAGGTGCTAAAGTTGTTATTATTTAAAAGTTGAAGTTTTCCTATTACACTGGGTAAAAATAAAAATAAAACATCAATTAAAATTTCATATTGCACAAAAAACTTCGGCACAGGTGCTGAAGTTTTTTAGTTAATCTGTAAAAACTTCGGCTAATGGAGCTGAGTTTTTCTCCTGCACTATGTATTTTATTATCATTTTTTGGAAAAACTTCATACCAAAAAAATAAAACATCAATTAAAATTTTATAATGCACAAAAAACTTCGGCATAAGTGCTGAAGTTTTTTAGTTAATATTTAAAAACTTCAGCAAGAGGAGCTGAAGTTTTCCTCCTGCACTGTCTATTTTCCTCCTGCTGAAGTTATTTAGTACGTTTCTAAAATATTCAGCACTTAAGAGCTGAAGTTGTTGTCCCTGCATTCATGAATCCCTGTCATACAACTTTTTTAAAAAAGAAATTCAGCTGATATGCTGAAGTTATTAAGCTTATTTCTAAAAACTTCTGCACTTAATAAGCTAAAGTTTTCTGTGCAGCATTCATTAATTATGTCATACATCTTTTTCCAAAAAATTTCAGCAGGAGATGCCTAAGTGATTTAGTTCATTTGTAAAAACTTCAGCACAAATAACCTAAAAATTCTTCTGTTCACTTTCCTAATACTTGCCACTAAAAATGAATCTGCAGGATGAGTTCGATTTACATTATTATAACTTTCAATGGGAGTTGGACTCCTTATTTCAAATACTTGGATCATGATACAAAACTTGTTCTACTTAATAAGCACATATCATTCAATACTTTCCTGAAGAAAATTAGTGAAGTTGCAACTATTGATTCAACCAGATATGCACTAAAAGTATGGTTTGATATCAAATTAAATACAAGCAAAGGAATGCTTGTAACTGCAGATGAAGAACTCAGTACCTGTAAACATTTGCTTACAGCTGATTCACCCTACAAGAATTGCCATTTCATCATCGAAAAAATACAACCTTCAGAATCTGCAGCATTCAAACAATCTCTTGCATATGCGATAGATTCAGAACCTTTTGAACATGAAGTAGGACAGCCAATAATGGAAGTAGACAACGATCTACAACCTTCTAACATTACAGCTGCTTCAGAATATATAATGCTGCAACAATTACCCCCTCCTCCAATAAATTCAAACCAGTTTGTCGATGACCAAGAAGAAGAAGGACAGCTAATAATGCAAATTGACAACCAACACACAATCCAACAAACCTTTTTGTTACCTTCTGCAATGATAAGCAACAATGAAGATGAAGTAAACATGGAGAATATACCAATAACATCAGATAGAATTGAAGAAATTGCTGAAAGTTCTTGTGCTTCTCAGAAATCAAGAAAAAGGGTGAGGAAACAGCTGAAAGAATCTCCACCATGTAAAATACTTAGGCACGATGTGTTGCCTGAGAAAGTAAGAGTTGGATCAATTTTTGAGAACAAACAAAACATGACTAAATTTTTCTGCAGCTTGGAGATAAACTAGAAAGTTGAATTCACTATTGTTAGATCATGTTCAAAGAGATACGAGCTGAAATGCATCGTGGACAAATATGGTTGGAATGTACGTGCTACCAGAATAAAAAATTCTACACTATTTGGGGTGATAAAATATCATAACATCCATGAATGCTCGGTTAATGCAAGAAAATCAGATCAGAAGCATGCTACATCAAATTTTATAAGTGAACAAATTATAGAACATGTTCGAGACAAAAAGATAGAGGTTACACCAGCCTTTGTAGAAAATGAAATGAAAAAGAAATTTGGAATTGACATTGGTTATCACAAGGCATGACGTTCTATTCAAAAAGTTGTTGCTTGCATAAGGGGGTCACCTGAAGAGAACTACCAGATTCTTCCTTCATACCTGTACATGATGGTGTGAAAAAATTCAAGAACGTACACAAGCATAAAAAGAGATGCACATAATAGGTAACCATCAGCCTGAAGTTTCAAATGTTCCTATTTGAAAAACTTCACACCTTATGATTTATTTTTTTGTGTTTCACTGTACAGATTTGCTTACATGTTCTTTGCTCCTGCGGCATCAATAGCTAGTTGGTTCTGCTGTAGACCCGTTATTGCAGTAGATGCAATGTTTTTAAAGTCCAAATATCGTGGTGTTCTATTTGTTGCTGTATCAAAGGATGCAAACAATCAAATCTTTCCTCTATGTTTTGGTGTAGCAGAATCAGAAAACAATGAGGCATACATTTGGTTCTTCGGGGAAATGAGAAAAGTAATTTAAGTCCGTCGTGAATTGGTTTTCTTGTCAGATAGAAACCAATCGATTGCAAATGGGATTAGAAAAGTTTTTCCAGAAGCTCACCATGGTATCTGCCTCTATCACTTTGAGAAAAATTTAAAGCAAAGACATGCAAAAGCCACGGTAATAAATCTTTTTCAAAGTGCTGCAAGGTCATACAAACGTGAAGATTAATTAGTTAATGTCCCAACTCAAAAGTATTGACAAGAAAACATACAATTACATAATGGAAGAGCCTCCAGAGAGATGGGCTCGATCGTGGTTTCCACGGTGACATTATGATATGCTAACAACAAACATGGTAGAATCAATGAATTCCGTTTTATTAAAAGGGAGAGAAATGCCTATTTTAAGAATATTAGATTTCATCCAAGAAAAGTTAGGAGAGTGGTTTTACGAACGGATAAAAAAGGCAAATGAAACTTTTCACAGAGTATCAATATAGGCAGAAGAAGAGATGACTAAGAAGATGGACTTGGCTTGTAAAATGTTTGTGAGTATATTTATTAACTTCAGCTTTTTATATCTGTTGTAGTGATTTACTGCTTACATTTAAAAAAATTCATACTTTTTTCTTTTTGAAGCAACAATACACTAATATAGTTTGTCTTAATTTTTTATTCCTTTTTAGGTGTTCAACCTTGATTCAATGTTGTTCAGAATAAATAGTGAAGGAATCGAATTCATTGTGAACAAAAAAAAAGAGAAATTGTGACTGCCTGGAATTCCAACTTGATGAATTACCCTGTCCACATGCAATTGCTGCTATTAATAAGAGCTATCTGCAGAAATCTAATTACTGTTCAAATTGGTATTCAAAGGAAACATGGTTAAAAACATATGAAGGACATGTGAATACCGTGAGAGATCAAAAATCATGGGATATACCACAAAATATACAATCTGAGATCACAAAACCTCTCGATGTAGAGATTTTACAAGGAAGAAGACAAAAGAAGAGGCATATACCTGTGACTGAATCAGTACCATTTAAGTCTACCAAATGCAATCGATGTAAACAAGTTGGGCATAACAGAACAACTTGCTTGTCTTCTCCAGCACCTCATCCATATTCAAAGAAATACACTGAAAAATACTCCAACCTTCAATAATCCTTGGTCTGAATTTAGACTTTCATTATTGTATGACATATTTGAAATGTGATTTTTTTTCATAGGAATAATAAAAAAAAAAAAGCTCTTGGACTATTTTATATACTGCTAAAATACAAATCACTCATTTTTGTTGCGCAGGCTTACAGGTTTGCTTGCATTTTAAAAAAGTACGCAATGACTTCTGCGAGAAAAAACTTCAGGTTACAGTATGTGAAATACATATCCTTAACACAAACACACACATACACACACACGCACACACACACATACGCATACAACACACAAAAGAAAGGCATGTACAAACAAAATCTTCAGCATCTCTAAGCTGAAGTTATAGAAAATGAACTTAATATCTTCAGCATATTCATTAATGAATATGCTGAAGTAAACAAAAAAGGACAGCATAAAAACATAAAAAAGAATTACAAAAACTAAACATAAAAACCAACTAAGAAGTATAAAGCAAATACCAACAAATAACAAGGATAATGCAATAGAAAGCTAAGAAGAAAGAGGATGAGAATTACATTGATACAAAAAGAGATGAGAACAACACACAAAGTACAAACAAAGACATCAGCTCTCAGGGCTGAAGTTATACAAAAT